ACCGCTCATGCTGGGTCTTGAGAGCCTCGTTAGCATTCTGTAGCTCCGTTACAAACTTCTCGAGCTTGTTCTGGGCACCTTTCGGGAGTTTGTTCAGCTCCGTCCGCCCCAGAACCTGCAGCAGAACGGCAGCCATTTCCACCAATCCTCCCCAAAAGTAGTAAATGGATAACAAGCTAGTAATCTGGTAATGTATCTCGCTCGTAAGTCCGTCAAAGCACACTTATACAGAAGCAGGATATCTACCCCAAACTTTCAAAATAAAGCAACAATTGACAATCAAGTTACGCCATATACAGTATGAAAGCTACTCTCATGTGAACCACCTTTAGGGTTTAGTGGGTACTGCAAGTTTTATTTTGGAAAGCAAACGTTCTGTTAGTTGTTTGTCTTTCGTTGTCTAACTTAACCATTTGACCCCCCGATTTGACCTCGACTCGGCCATTACGACAGAGACGTGCGACGGAAATACGTCACTGTACAAAGTATTTGCAGAAATGTAAACGTTGAACCTTTTGGCGTTATATTCCAAGATTCGGGGAGAGGTAGCGTTAATTGTTTAGGGATGCGATTAAGAAGAGGTCAGATTAAGCACCTTAAAAGACAGTTGGTTATGGTTAGGATGAATGTTATTTTCAGATTAAAGTAAGAGGAAATACATATCTACGTTGAAACGTATGTTACTTCACTTTCCCTAGAATCTACTCGCGCATCTTGGAATCTAACGTTAACAACATTGTGAAATTCTGCTTGCTGACGAGCCTCTGCCAGCTGCTTGCCTTCTGGTTCACATTTTAGTCAGTGCATTACTTCTGCCAGGTATTTCCTCACGGTACCAAGACAGGTTTTTGAAACTGAAACTGAAGCTGTAGGAGTACTTTTGAATTACAAGGTTGGCCATCACGTCTAATGTATTTTATTAATGTCAGTTAATGTTAGCTAAAGTTAGACGTCCCCCAAGTTAACAGAGCTTACATTTTCCAAGATTTAACTGCTTGTTGCTTTAATTTAGTCAGCAACTGTCTACGTCTTTAATTGTTCTTCCACATCTCAACTTTCCCAGTCTCATTGCAGACATATTGGTAAATTAAAAAACAGTGGCTACTCTGATTTAATCTTACCATCTCTGTCCATTTTCTCCTCAGGTGGTATGGGTCGTAGCTATATTGTAGAAGATGCTGTGGAGGGATATCTGTGTAAATTATGTGAGCAACAAACAAGTCCAGTCACAGGATTACTTATTGGACAGGTATGTTTACAGCTGTCTAGCAATAGACCACATTTAGACTAACAGTTTGCCATCAGTGACATAGCAGCTATACGTTGGTCATAAAACTAAGGAAAAGCCACTTCATTGTAATACAGGACAACACAACCTGTAGAAAACGTGTTCAGGATATCAACTGGATCATATATCTCTCAAGTAGTGCCATGTTTAAATTTAGTTTGATATATTGCAGTGTTGTATCTCATAATAGGACTTGGTGTGATATAACTGTGTGTGAAATGAAGAGACACTAACTCATAATAACGATTAAATATTTCAGAGCTCAACCCAAAGAGATTTTGTCCTCATGGCAACTCGGACGCCCCAAAAGGAGGGGTCTACTGCAGGAACTGCAAACTGCATGGACAAGGAGTGGGTTGCTGAGCATGCCCGGCAGGTGGGCAGAGAGGGACACAGTTTTTACCCAGCACACATGCATGCAGTCTTGAGTATTTAAATGGCTATTAAAGTTCAGTACACAATTATCTGCCTTGTGCAGGGTTTTTACAACACATTTTGTTGATACAGGGAGCTCAAATACTTAATAAATAATATATTGTAAATAAAAACAACATCAGAAAGGCTTTCACTGAATTGAAGTAGTTTTAAAACATATGTAGCTCCATGTGCTGGTGTGAGTACAGAATCCAAAACACTGAGCTTTATGTATACAAGATGTACTGTATACACATATGCAAGATAAGAAAAATTGCCTGAAAATGTGTTTTTGCCTGTGTATTTGCAGGCTATTAAACAGTTGTGTAGATTTGAGGTATGCATTTGGCTCTGGTCTGATGTGTTTCTAGGTGTCCAGGATGCTGCCTGGAGGCCTGTCTATATTAGGAGTATTCATCATCAATGATAATGATGGCAAGGACACAATAGCCATACTACGGCAGGTGAGATTCTTATAAATACACTGTACATATGGTTTTGCATGTTTAAGTCAAATTTCTACTATCTTGTTAGACCTGATGCCAAATTCTTATCTTTCTTATCTCAAAATGAAATGTGATAAATGTACTCTTGGACTAATTTCCATGGCAGTGACATACAGTCATTCTCTGCTTTTTGTGTCGTTCCATTGCAAAAAAAATAAATAAACATGAGCTCGAACATTTCCATGTTTGAAGAGTACATGATGGGGGAGGTGTTGTCATTTGCATCTGCATACTTGGGTGCTGGACGGATTAAGACAAAATGGGCCCCTGTGCACAGAGAAGTAAAGGCCCCCCCACCCATCCTATAGGACCATCAGCAGTTTTGTGTGTCTTTATAGTTGATCTGCTACATCAAGGTACATATCCTGGCTCTAAGACACAGGAAATTAAACTTGTTAATTAACATAATTAATTTGCGGCCAGTACAAACTCACCACAAATCCTTGACCTACCTCAGTTTGTTACCAGTGTGTAAGCCAACCATTACCTGCACATTTGTTTATATGCACACATTTTTGAGTATTGTATCCATCTATTTCCCTGTGTGCATGTGTGTGTACTGTCTATGTGCAGCTGGTTTTTGTGGTGGAGAAACTGATTTCCACGGAGCATCTATGGACCCCAGCAGATGATGACGTCACAGACTATGTCACACTGCAAATCAACGCCAAAACCAAAAAGTATCCTTTTGCATAGTCTTCTCACTGGGTCAGGCAGATCCCAGGTAGTGTGTGAATCTTCTTTAACCACACATATCAGAATCATCTGCAAAACCTTTGATATCAAAGACCCTAAGGTTAGTTTACACCATTCACTTCAAACAAAGCAGAAGCTTCTACCTGCAGTCTGTACACATAGCCTAGTCCATATTGCCTTCAAAAACTACTGAAGCCCTCTGTTTTATCCTATTATTTGTAATGTTTAATCCACACTTCAGAATGGTTTAGAGCCGAGAAATGTTGCCACTGATTTACCGAAAAGAAATCTCAAATGTAGCAAGTTAAGCAGCTTTACAGAAACCCTCCAGCGGTCCAGTCAGTTGACTGGGCATGATTTGGATCATTGATCAGGCCTGTGACTCGCACTCAGGTTGTTTTACCTGATTTAAGACCCAACATAGAGATACATTGCATATGTGAATTATTTGCCCATTTTTTGTTATTCGGGTCTGTGTTTCAGCCCATTCAATTTGAAATAATGGAGCATACAGTAAATTACCAAGTCTCATCTTTAATTTTAGCAGGTTTATGTCAACATTGAAAGAATAGTGTGAGATGTACAGTATAGCCCTTTTAATATAGTGACCCAAATATCAAGGGTTTAAAGGTAACTGGACCCTTGTCTCTTCTTAGAGAGTTGGGTGTCATTTCAGTCATAGTTCATGCACAAAAATCACACCTTTCAATGAGAGAAACTTCAGTACTTTTTATAAGAATCTACTCATAAGTTTGATGGTGCCTGGCCTTTTCTTACCTTTTGTGTGTGTGTGTGTGGCAATTATAAGTATGTTTATCTGTCTGCTAATGTGTTCTTTCTGGGAGGAGATAAGAATAGCTGGAGAGGAACGAGCACCACCTCACCCATCAGACATGGTGGTGCTTCTGTTATGGCTTGTGCATGTATGGCTACCAGTGGAAATGACACACTGGCATTCACTGAGGATGTCACTGCTGATGGAAGAGACCGTGTGAATGCACTGTTAGACAGGAGCTCTTTGTTGTTCAGATTCAGCCAAAGGCATCAAAACTCAGTGAGCCACATTTCATCACACAGCAGGACAGTGATCTAAGCATACAGCCAAAGCAACCAAAGAGCTTTTCACGGTGAAGTGGTGGAATATCCTGGAGTGGTCCTAGTCTGACTGGGCTGTGTTCCACTTCCTGAGGACTAGAGGCAGAGTTACAAGATACTAAGTGTCTGTGGGTTGAAGACTTCATTAACAGCAAAGAATCTTTCACAAACTATTGAATATGCTGATTGTGTTAGACATAACATGTCAAACTGTTACTTTTGAACCCTTAAATTTGGACCACTATATGTGATAAAGTGTCTATTTGTCCAAAACTGTTCATTTCAAAAAGAAAACTGCTGAAGCACAAAGCTTAAAGAACAAAAACATCTTACCAAGTACACCTCAGATTTGTTATGATATTTAGATTCAGACACATCATATTGTGTTGTTATCAATCATATCGTTACCCTTGGCTTTTCAGAGCACGGCCAAACCTGCAGACTGGAAGTACCAGTCAGGTGTGTGTTCCAACTGGACTACGGAGCTGAATAAACCTTTGTGAAGTTAGGCCTACATTGCACTACCTGCAGTAATTTTTACAGTGCCTTGCGAAAGTATTCGGCCCCCTTGAACTTTGCGACCTTTTGCCACATTTCAGGCTTCAAACATAAAGATATAAAACTGTAATTTTTTGTGAAGAATCAACAACAAGTGGGACACAATCATGAAGTGGAACGAAATTTATTGGATATTTCAAACTTTTTTAACAAATAAAAAACTGAATAATTGGGCGTGCAAAATTATTCAGCCCCTTTACTTTCAGTGCAGCAAACTCTCTCCAGAAGTTCAGTGAGGATCTCTGAATGATCCAATGTTGACCTAAATGACTAATGATGATAAATAGAATCCACCTGTGTGTAATCAAGTCTCCGTATAAATGCACCTGCACTGTGATAGTCTCAGAGGTCTGTTTAAAGCGCAGAGAGCATCATGAAGAACAAGGAACACACCAGGCAGGTCCGAGATACTGTTGTGGAGAAGTTTAAAGCCGGATTTGGATACAAAAAGATTTCCCAAGCTTTAAACATCCCAAGGAGCACTGTGCAAGTGATAATATTGAAATGGAAGGAGTATCAGACCACTGCAAATCTACCAAGACCTGGCCGTCCCTCTAAACTTTCAGCTCATACAAGGAGAAGACTGATCAGAGATGCAGCCAAGAGGCCCATGATCACTCTGGATGAACTGCAGAGATCTACAGCTGAGGTGGGAGACTCTGTCCATAGGACAACAATCAGTCGTATACTGCACAAATCTGGCCTTTATGGAAGAGTGGCAAGAAGAAAGCCATTTCTTAAAGATATCCATAAAAAGTGTCGTTTAAAGTTTGCCACAAGCCACCTGGGAGACACACCAAACATGTGGAAGAAGGTGCTCTGGTCAGATGAAACCAAAATCGAACTTTTTGGCAACAATGCAAAACGTTATGTTTGGCGTAAAAGCAACACAGCTCATCACCCTGAACACACCATCCCCACTGTCAAACATGGTGGTGGCCGCATCATGGTTTGGGCCTGCTTTTCTTCAGGAGGGACCGGGGAGATGGTTAAAATTGATGGGAAGATGGATGGAGCCAAATACAGGACCATTCTGGAAGGAAACCTGATGGTGTCTGCAAAAGACCTGAGACTGGGACGGAGATTTGTCTTCCAACAAGACAATGATCCAAAACATAAAGCAAAATCTACATTGGAATGGTTCACAAATAAACATATCCAGGTGTTAGAATGGCCAAGTCAAAGTCCAGACCTGAATCCAATCGAGAATCTGTGGGAAGAACTGAAAACTGCTGTTCACAAACGCTCTCTATCCAACCTCACTGAGCTCGAGCTGTTTTGCAAGGCGGAATGGGCAAAAATTTCAGTCTCTTGATGTGCAAAACTGATAGAGACATACCCCAAGTGACTTACAGCTGTAATCGCAGCAAAAGGTGGCGCTACAAAGTATTAACTTAAGGGGGCTGAATAATTTTGCACGGCCAATTTTTCAGTTTTTTATTTGTTAAAAACGTTTGAAATATCCAATAAATTTCGTTCCACTTCATGATTGTGTCCCACTTGTTGTTGATTCTTCACAAAAAATTACAGTTTTATATCTTTATGTTTGAAGCCTGAAATGTGGCAAAAGGTCGCAAAGTTCAAGGGGGCCGAATACTTTCGCAAGGCACTGTATAAATTATTCATAGGTACTTTAGTAGAACTGACTTATGTCACTCTTTGTTTCAGGAGGAACTCAAAGTTTGGGCACAGCAGATTAAGAGTGGAGTTTGTCTGACCGAAGGAAAAAGGCTGCCAGAGGACACAGAGCTAACAGCAGGACAGGTTGTAGAAATCCAACAGACACTGAGAGGACAGCACATAGGTTAATCTGTAATCCTTGTATTTACCCACAGAACACTGCTAACAAAACCAGTTTTTGGAGCCTTGCTCATGGGGCAGTTGTTGATAAAGATTTATTATTCACCTCCTTTCATGTGCAAACTGACTCTAGAGCTGCAACTGAGACCACTCAGTCCAGCAGACAAAGAAATGCATTGTAATTCTTGCAGTGCATTGCATTGACCACAAGGTTGTAATGTACTACAGGCCAAGTGCATTACTTTGTATTGTGAACCCAGTTATTCTACTGACTGAGACAGAATGAAATGATCATGGCCTCAATAACTTATGGTTCCTTTCTCAGAGTACTGCAGGAAATGACCTCTGTCTGTCCATAAATTCTGTGATACTTGTTGGTACTACTTTTAGGACTAGATGTGAAATATCACATTTCTTAACCTATCACTCTTGGCTTGGTCACAATCCTAACCTGTTAAGGGTTTGTATGTACACCTGTGGTAAGCTGCCTAGGTTAATTATATAAACCTGCAAATACATATACAGTAGTTGTTGAGAATGTCATAAACCAGTGACGTCGCTCTCTGTCCTAGATCTAGTCCTGTTTCTGGCTGAAAGTACTGAGAGTGTAGGAGTAGTAGTGGTTTTAGTCCCATCATCACTTTCAGCACAGATTCTTTGATTCTGAGACACCTGATCAATATGGGCTCTGACCTTCTCTGGGCTGTTAGTGGGTTAAACACTGCCCAACATACAGACTGCTCTCACCTAATTATGCAAGTAAATATATACATTAAACTAGAAGAACTACAGTACATGTAACAGCAGTAATGAATCTAACTGGGTCTTTGGACTGTGAGAAAGACAGGAGAGTAATTCCAGCCTACTGTCTGATATTTCTCTTTAGAAGAGGAATGTGAGGCAGACGTACACATGTCAGCTGCTCATCACACCAGTAAGACACACACACACACACACACACACACACACACACATACACAGTTGTGTTTTTAAAAACCGTTACATAACATAACGACTGCATGTCACAAGCTTGTGATTGTTTATTTAATTCAACACTAATGTGTTTCTCATTAAAAATAAATTTAATTGCATTCTATATTGTATACAGTGCATCATTATAGCTATGAATTGCCAATTTTTCCATTGTGAATGCTGAGTAAATACATGCTCATTGCTAAAGTAAAGCTGCAGTGTTCATAAAAGAGGACCATGGTGTCCTGTGTGCTAGGATGAAGAGAGGCTAACAGATGTGGTCCAGCAATGCGGAGGCAGTGTGTCAGTCAGAGGAGCAATCCACAGCAGAGCTTACCTGCCCAGCAACAAACTCAAGGCCAAGTTTGCTGAGAAGGTACTGGATTCATATACTGTATTAGACCTACTGTATATGAAATGCAACTGAAAGACAACTCCAACATTTTGTCATGAAATCTCCATTTGGACAGATGCTAAAGAGGGATGTGGTTTCAACAGTGTCCACAAGGGTTCAGATGCTTGTGGAGGAGCTGCTGGCCTCAGAGGAAGAGAGCCAGGGAAGAAGAGATGAACGTCAGACAGGTATGCACACATGTGAGCTAACAGGAGTTTGTTCCGCCAGTCATGTGGTCAGGGTCATCTGTGAGTTTAGGGTCAGCCAGTCCCAGAAGAGAGGCAAGGATTTTTATACTAAAGGTTTGAATGGGAAGGGTTGAGGTTGCCTTACTTTGCAAAACTCTGTTTGACAAGAGTGAAATACAAATAAAACAGTACTGGGCAAGCACTAGACAAACACAAACATGCATCTAGGTCAAAGGTCAAAGTGTCTATTTGTCATATGCACAGTTAGGAAATGCATTTCCCTGTACAATGAATGGGAGCATGAGTATAGTTCAGTGAAAGTGACTGAATATACAGGAAATAGTGCAGGACAGGGTTATAAGCATGTTTATTAATTGTGTGGCTTTTTGTCACACACTTATCATCAAAAACTTCTGTGATTGTCCTTACTGTCACTGCAGTCAACTAGTATCACTCCCTCTCTCTGGTTCTATTATTTTGCCAGGCATTTATATAAAAAGTGTAAAACTGCTGGGTAATGGTTGCTGATCTTAGCACAGTTCAGTCAAATTGAACTCTGAGCAAAGTGAAGGCAGGCTCAGTGTGGAACTGGAAACAAATACAGGTTGTTCTTTTCCTCATTCTAATGAATAGGGAGAAACATCCTTAGATCAAGTTACTCATTTTTGACTCAAGACATTGTTGGGAAAAGAATGGACACTATCATCTTTCTTCGGTTGCCATTCAGATTAACAGCAAAATTTACAGTCTCACTCTAGTGTCTTTATTGATAAGCACAGTAACGTTAGGCAACATTTTAATTTAAACCAATGTATCAGCATTTTCCTAAATATTTACTAAGTATTGAAGCTCTTTCCTTACTGTACCACTGACTCTGTCTCTCTCATCAGAGCATTTCTGCCTCCCACGCCGTGTTTTTTGTCCTGTAAAAGCATCCAGCCCAGTGTGCGTGTGTGACTACCAGTTTAGTGATGAGGGCCTGTCTGAGGTGACTGACAGGCTGAAGGAGATGCTGGACATCACCGCAGCTGAGGATGACTTAGACACCAGACAGGAAATGACTGCTGAAGTCATAGCAAGTGATATTACAGCAGGTGGGGAAAGACTGTATGTTTGCAATAAATTTACTGTGCGGTTTGTGTATCTAAAGTTCACCTAAAACTGAATACTCTAAATAAGTCATTTCCACAGCTGATCAGTTTATTTATAAAATTCACACTGACAATGTTAAAAAAAACCTGTGCTCTCTCATTACCAAGCTTGTCCGCTCACTATGCAGTTGTCCAAATGTTAATAACCACAAAAACTCTGTCACTGTCTTTCTTAAAATTTGCTTGGGAAGAAATGTGTAAAGGTTTGTGGTATTGATAGTAGGATCAGAATCAGAATCACGTTTATTGGGCAAGTATGTTTAAACACACAAGGAATTTGTCTCCGGTACAGAGGCTCTTAATGTGCTTGTAGGTTAGGTGTAGGCCCTTGCACAGGTCCCTGGGGAGTCGAGATGTTGCAGGTTGTAACGCAGTGCCATGTTGACTGCATTAACCACTGACCTATTTGCCCAGCATTCAGTCCATTGATAGAGGGTTTCTTGGAAACTGGGATGATGGTGGAGTGTTGAAGCAGGAGGGGACTTCACACAGCTCCAGTGATCTGTTGAAAAAAGTGTGAAGATGGGGGGCAGCTGATCAGCGCAAGCTTTCAGACGGGAGTGGGTCACACCATCTGGGCCTGGAGCCTTTCAGATTTTTTGTTTTACAATCCATCCGTCACTGTTGATGGGGGCAGGTGTGGACCAACACCTGTCTGCATGGATCATTAACTACCTCACAAACAGACCTCAGTTTGTCAGGCTGCGTGACTGTGTGTTGGATGGGAGCAGCACAGGGGACGGTGCTTTCCCCCTTTCTGTTCACCCTCTACACGTCGGACTTCAAGTACAACTCCCACCACTGTCACCTACAAAAGTTCTCAGACGACACCACCATTCTGGGGGGGACAAGTGGGAATATAGGGGCGTTGTTACTGACTTTGTGAAGTGGTGTGAGGAAAATCGACTGGTCCTGAACACCACTAAGACTAAAGAGATGGTGATTGATCCCTGGCGGAAATCACCAGCACTCACTCCGGTGAGCTTTCAGGGCTCAGTCATTGAGATTGTGGACACCTTTAAATACCTGGGGGCTCATCTCAACAACAAAATGGATTGGACTGAAAACACTGATGCCCTGTACAAGAAGGGCCAGAGCCGCCTCCAGTTGTTGAGGAGACTGAGGTCCTTTGGTGTGCACGGGGCACTCCTTTGGACTTTTTATGATACTGTAGGGGCATCTGCTGTTTTTTTTGGGTTGGGTAGGAGGTAGCACGGTCAGGGACAGAAAGAGACTAAACAAGCTGGTCAAGAGAGCTGGTTCTGTCCTGGACTGCCCTCTGGATTCCATCAAGGACAGAAGGATGCTGGTAAAACTAACACCCATCATGCATAACCCCTCCCATCCCCTGCACCACACAGTTCTTTTAGCACAAGACTATATCCCCAGTGCAAGAAGGAGCATTACCATAGGTTGTGCCTCCCCACAGCCATCAGACTGTACAATACATCACTGCAGTGATAAACTAGGTGAAAGTATGAGGGACTATGCAATAGTCAACTGAGGTGCAATACTCAAATCCTGGGGGTAAAATTCATTGTAAATATTCACATATGTAAAATCTTGTTCTTGATTTCTCTCGAATACTTTATATTATCTTGTTTTAGGTATTTTTGAGTAGTTTTTCAGAGATCCTCATGGCTGAAATACAGGTATTTCCCCCATTGCGGGATTAATTATGGAAGTAATATTCTTGTCCTTGATTTCTTGATCTCTTGAATACTATATTTTGTCTTGTTCTTAGGGATTGTGATTTGTTCTCAGGGATTAATTGTGGGGGGATCATTCTTGTTCTTGATTGTCTCTCAAATACTATATTCGGTTTGGTTTTAGGAATTTTTTTCTAGTGATGCACCGAAATGAAAATTCTGGGCCGAAACCGAAAATTTAGGATGCACTTGGCCGAAAACTGAAACGAAATCGGTGTGTTTTTTTATTCCGGCCCGAAATAAAAATGGCCTTTTTGGCCGAAAATTTTCGGCGGCCGAAAGTTCGGTGCACCCCTATTTTTTTCTCAAGACGTGTGTGGTGTTTGTTCTTATGGTGTTTTGTTGCAGCTCTCTGTTGCTGCTGGAACACAGGAATTTCCCCATTGTGGGATCAATAAAGTCCTACCTATAAAAAGGATCTGTGCAGCTGGAACTCTGGCAGCTGGATTGTGCTGTCCCTGGTCGATTCACTGAGCCACGTCTCGATGAAGCACAGCGCAGCAGAATATGAAAAGTCAGGGTTAGTCTGGTTGACAAGGAGTAGTTCATTCATTTTGTTGGCTAGAGAGTGGAAATTTGCAAAATGGATGGACGAGAGTGGCATTTGGCTGCCTTGCTGGTGTAACTTCACCAGGGCACCTCCACAGCAGTAGGTTATTGCAGTCATTGGAGAGGAATTTTCTGATTTCCATTCTTAACCAGATTTTTCCCAGTAACTAGGTCTGAGTTCTTGAGATCTTATTTTGTTGTAGTTTATGAAACTGTGTTTGTGTTTCCAGAGCTCAGTGTGGAGCCAGGTGAACAGCTGGAATCCTCAAGAAACAACTACACTGGTAAAACACTTTGTACTCTTTCCTGTTGCATTTGACAGCACCATGTGGACTTGGGGTTACAAACTTTTTCATGATATTAAAATGACAGTCAAGAACAAACCTCTTCTGCTTTCTCAGGTTGATCTCTCATAGTTGAGACAGACAGTAGTTAACTTTGTTGTAGTATGTCAATTGACAACATTGTCCAAAATATTTTTCCATGAAATATAGGTAATTTATGCACTTGATACTGTGGGGTTGGAGAAATATGTTTTAGGCAGTCCAAACTGAATATTGGAATGTTGCTACACAACTTACAATAGCAGGTGTTTCAATTAGTTCTGCCTGCCATACATTTCCTTAATTTTAATGTATGCACATTCATCTGCTGGAATATACTAGTCACACTTATCACTTTTTACGTTGTAACAAACAGGCTGCTTTAGAAAGTTGGGCCAGACTGGGGCACATTTTTAAGAAAGAGGCTCTGGTCAAGGGGCCCTTATCCATCAATGATACCAACAAGCCAGCTACCTATCATATTCTGAGTCCCCCTCCCTTCAGGCTCTGCCCCTAGTTGCAAATGAAATACTTAAAATTCTTTCTATAAAAGGTATGATGTGTGTTTGTGCACATGTTTGTAAAAGCACTGTCCTGATTCTTTTTTTCTGTGTTGTTTAGGTGTTGCCATAGCTACTGCTGTCGCCCTGCTTGCCACTGCCGCCTCAATGCTCTATCTCACTGACATGTGACACAGACACATGCACTAAAATAAAGTTTTGTTTTGAACATTTCTGGCAAGTGTCTGTTGGTTGAATAAGAAATCCATAATGAAATTTCTATTGTAGATATGGTGTCAAATGTGCACATCTGCACTCACCAAGAACAAATCTGTATGAACACTGTCTGAAGTGAGAAACGTGAGACAAAGGAAGAATAAGAGAGGGATGGACAGACACTGCTGCAGAGGTAAAGACTGAACAGTTCCCTCTGGAGCTCACTGTTTATCTGTTCATTAAAAATACTATTGGCTATTTTCTGTTGCTATTTACTGTACCTGTAGATGTAATACAGTTTTATATTCCACCCTGCCAAAACTGCACTGCTCCAGGCCCTTCATCCAAGTGTGGATTGCAGAGAAACAACCTTGCATGCGATAACTATTGTTAAATGTCCTACACCACAAAAAAGTATGTAGAGAGGTGACTTTACATTGACCTCTCAGGTCCAAGACAATGGAGTCTGTCTAGTGCCTTGTAATTTGAGTATGACAGAGGGGATGTAAGGCATTGTGTGTAAAGCAGTGTCTATATACATCAGTAGCAATGTTATAAAGAGTGAATGCTCATGCCAAACTTTGCTCTTTGCCTGGAGAGATCACTGATTTCTGTACACTCTGAGGCCATTCATAAAAGTTTATAATTAAACAACACAAAAGACAGAACGTGTGTTCTTGAGTTTATTGTATTAATTTCAATAACACCTCCTAATGTTTGCTTTGTGTGGGTGATGTAAAACCCGATTCCAAAAAAGTTGGGACACTGTACAAAATGTGAATAAAAACAGAATGCAAAGATGTGGAAGTTTCAAATTTCAATATTTTATTCAGAATACAACATAGATGACATCAAATGTTCAAACTGAGAAAATGCATCATTTTAAGGGGAAAATAAGGTGATTTTAAATTTCATGGCATCAACACATCTCAAAAAAGTTGGGACAAGGCCATGTTCACCACTGTGTGGTATCCCCTCTTCTTTTTATCACAGTCTGCAAACGTCTGGGGACTGAGGAGACAAGTTGCTCAAGTTTAGGAATAGGAATGTTGTCCCATTCTTGTCTAATACAGGCTTCCAGTTGCTCAACTGTCTTAAGTATTCTTTGTCGCATCTTCCTCTTTATAATGCGCCAAATGTTTTCTATGGGTGACAGATCTGGACTGCAGGCTGGCCATTTCAGTACCCGGATCCTTCT